ACACGTCGGTCCCGCAGAGGCTGAACCCCTCCACGCGTGTCCTTCGTGCTACCCGCAGCCTCCAAGCCCCGGGCCAAGTCTGTGCGCCCCGAGTTACCAGCTGGGCCACACCAGGCACCTGCGCTCCTGGGAACTTCCTGCCTAAAACATTCTCCTCATGCCGTCGACCTTGCCAACTTCTGTTCATCCCTCAGAACCCCACCTGGCCAGCGCTGCTCCTGAAGAGTCCCCACGCCAAGGAAGCGCACCTCCTCAGCGTGCAGGTGGCGCACAAGGTTTGGGGGTGGGATGGGCACTCTGAGCAGGCGCAGAGGCTCACCCGGGCTGCGTCCTCACGGGAAACCTGATCCCCCGCTGGGGGCGGCCCTCGAGAAACCCGATCCCGCTGGGGGCGGCCCTCGAGAAACCTGATCCCGCTGGGGGCGGTCCTCCCCAGAGGAGAGACCGCCCTCCACACCAAGACTGTGCCTTCTTGCCAAGCGCTCTGATGCGCCACCGGGTCCAGACCCTGCGGTTCAGAGTTGTGGAGCGCTGGGTGGTCTCTGTGCAGAGAGAGTACGCCCCGTGACTGCGTATCCTTACCGCTGGCTTGGCTGGTCACCTTAATGGTGACACACAAAACCAGACCATGCAAAGGTAAAGATGCACAAAGCACATTTTAGGTCACATCTTTCCGATGCTTGGATCCAGTAGAATAGACCTGTTGTTGGTCCCTAGCCTCTGTACCCTATTCTTAAGTTACGAAGGGGTATCCCCTCCCCCCCCTCAAAATGATACTCATTTGTTTTTTTGATGTGAGGGCCATAGTGCATTTGGAGTTCGTTCCACCAGGTCAGACTGTTAATCGAGTTTTCTCTTTGGAGGTCCTTAAAAGATTGCATAACAGTGTGCGACAAAAAAGGCCTGACTTGTGTCAGACAGGGGACTGGTTTTGACACCATCACAATGCACCTGCTCATGCAGACATCTCAGTGCACCAGTTTTTTGGCCAAAAACAGCATGCCTCTCTTGCCCTACGCACCTGACTCACCTGATCTCACTTCATGCGGATTTTTTTGTTTCCGAGAATGAACAGGGACATGAAAGGACAGCGATTTGACGACATAGAAGAGGTGAAGGAAAAAAAATAAAACGAGGGAGGTGCTGTCAGCCATCCAAACAGATGACTTTGAAAAATGATTCCAAGAGTGGAAGTTCAGATTTGACAAATGTGTTATGTGTAAAGGAGAACACTTTGAAGGTGAGAAGGTGGTTTTGTAAAAAAATAAATAAATAAATAATAGCTTTGAAAAAATTCTGGTGTGTTGGGGATACCCCCTTACATACTCATTGCTATCAAGTTTGGTTCTGACTCCGGAATACTAAATACCTGCATTATTTGAGGCACACTAGCCGTAAACTAGTAAGGAGACTGCAACCATTGCGTCTAATCTGACCCACTCCCAGTTTTGTAAGTAGTTTTATTTCAAAAAATAGGTCTTTGGTTCAGGATTCTGCATGCTACAAGAGCAGAGTGAACTAGTTGCATATGACGAAGCCTACACTATTGTCTGGTCCTTTAAGAAGTTGCTCTGATGGTGCTGCGAGCTCAGTGTTGGGCTGCTAATCACAAAGTCTGCGGTTCACAGGGAAAAAGAGGAGTTTGTTTCCTTAAAGATTTCGTCTCAGCAACCCTGTATATGGTCGCTGTCAGACTCAAGTCAGTAGCGGTGTTTGGTTGATCCTTTTTTAAAAAGTGTCTCATTCCCTGGGCTACAGTAACAAGTAGGTCCCCAAATGTATAACGCTTAA